TTATTCAAAAATAAACATACAACTCCCAGCTTTATGGTTGTTGAATATACTAAGACAGCAGTACCCAAACAAGCAGCTGAAAAATTGATAGTCTGCAAAGATCTAGTTATAACTCCCATTTGCTTTCACCTACAAGCACACAGAAAAATAATAAAATTCATAAACACTTCCTAACCATCCTCTCCTTGCTGCTCTCCATCAGGGATATATGCACAGGCTATTGATGCCTCATGCACACCCCTGAATTGTGCATGATGATCGGCGATCAGTGCCAGGAGAACAGCGTACCACCAGCGTGCTCAGTGTTCAGTGGCTGCACATTAGGAAGAGAGATGACAGCCATAAAATAATGGATAAACAAACTGAATCTGTCATAACAAGTGATACAAATAAATTATTCAGGAATATGCAATTCAGGTAAATATTTTGCCTCAAACAGTTATCAGTGTACTGACTTTTCCTCTCCCAAAATCTACAGAATGGTCAAGTCCTAAAAATAATTCTACTGGGATATTATCCATCTAAATAGTTTAAAAATCAATTCTACTCCTTTGGAAAGATTTAAGCAAGATTAAAAACACGGTAGCCCCTACATTGACAGCACGGACAAGAGAAGCAGTCAGCATCACTACCTTTCCCTTGCCTTAATGCCACTCAAGCTTTTCCTCAAGTTTGTACCTACATGCTCTTACAGATGGTGGGTTCTATACTAGGCCCAGCTGCAGCCCAGTCAGAGGCTGGGATCTCAGGCACCTTCCTCAGCAGCAGGTACACCCACTGGCACTCACCTCCCAGCCCTGATCCGTTCTGCCGCCTGAAACTTGGCTAAGACCTGCTACACCTTGAATGTGGGAACCAGACACAAACTACCGCTGTAGTTCCATGGTCCTCACCTCCTATCCAGCTCATCTTTTGAGTTTTACTTCTTTAATGCTGGAAAAGTAGAGCCCATAGCCCACAGTTCAAGTCCTAGATGAGTTCAGTTTCAAAGCATGAGGGAATAGGGGTATGCTGTGGTGCTGTGTCAGAGATAAGCACACCGTATGCTGTTATGGGCTATGATGTGAAATAGGAGAAATGCAGTTCATATTGCTTAAGCTGGTTTAGGACTGCCCTAAAATCAATTCTATGTATCAGCATTAATATTGCCCAGGGGATCTATAGGAGGTATCTGGTAGAAGGGGATCATGCCTATCCACCGATTACCCAGCTGACCACCAAGCATGTCGTGTTCCTCACATGGAACCAAGCACTCATATGAAATTACGTGCAAGTATCTTCAGACAGGCTGAACTTACAGAACTGTTTCTCTTCCTCCCTACTTCATGATTAATTCAAAAAGCTATTTCCCATTTCTCCTCCCCCCTGCTAACATTCTTAACTCCTAGCACTCCTTTGTCCTATTTCAAGAGGTAAGAGTCAGCAAAAAATGTTTGAGAAACTTTCCAGTTTGTATTTAAAGATATCTAAACCAAAGCCCTGAGTTACAATCATCACATCTCTAGTCAAATAAATACAGCAGAAGGACTCACTCAGTCATTACTCTGCACACACAGTATAAACATTGGCTACGATAAATCTCTTTTGAGGTAGATATATACAGTACAAAATATATTAAGGGTCAAAGACAAACATTACACTTACTTCACCTTCTAGCCTTGTCCTCCACTTCTGAAGGAAATCTTACAAATGTATTATTCATTTGTTTTATCTGCATTCACACCAGGGTTTTTTTTTTTTTGGGGGGGGGGGGGGGGGTTTGAGCTCTAGGACAGACCCCTGAAACTAAACCTGTATATGTAATATTACTAGAGTTTGGGCAATGAGAATAGTAGGTTAACACAAATTTCAGCTAAATAAAATCTATACATTTTAAATCACTTTGCAGACAGTAGAGCTGTTCAAAACAGGTAATAGTTTCATCAACAAACAATAAAAGTGTTCTGCTGGGATTTTCAAACAAAGTTTTAAACCAAAAGGTTGATTTTTAGTTTCCCAAAACTGCTTTTCATTATTTGTCCCCCTCTCACTGAAATGAAAGATGATAGACTGAAAAAAAACAGAACCCCCCATTCCTTTAGAAAAAAAGATTCAGTTAAAAAATTCAAAGATCTCTAATGAAAAACATGCAACAAACAGATAAATCAGATTGGTCTGCTCAGAACTTGGCCAAGGTTCGCATGGAAGGTTTGCAAACAGATAACCTTGTCTGAGTTCAGAGCTTGCAGCAAACAAGAAAAATGCTTTGGGATTTTTCAGTACTGTGATACCATAGTTGCAGACACAAGATAGGAAGACATAATAAACAGATTCATTTTTCTTGAATAAAATATCTATGAAGACAATCCATCCACTTAAGTAACATAAGAAGATTAAAATAAGTTAGTAATCACTGAATGATTAGTGCACCCAACAGTTGCTTTAGGAAGACAACAGAGCAGAGAAGTTATCTGCTAACAAGTCAGTTGTTTAAATCCTAAGATAAATCAGACTGTAGGATTGCTATCAGTTAGTCAATTAAGTACTGATGTGTACCAACATGTGACTGTGAAACATGTGGTAACATTTTGTTGTGGATCAACAGAGAAATGAATATGACTACATAAAGAATTAGCACCACTGTCTGCCTGTGTGTGTCGCTATTCCTTAGTCACAAAAGTTGGTGCAGGCTGAGAAAATACTTCCACTGTAGCTGTTCTTAGCACATCAGCTCTGACTGCAAGCATAATATTTGGATCAGATTTATGGAATTCACCACCACACTACAAACCTCAGATTTGATATTTGGGTTTTGAGCAGTCCTTACTAGCTCCAATTTTTTTTTTTTTTTGGACAAACTACAAATTAGCCCTCCTCCTTCCACAAAAGTTATCTGAGTGAGAAGTTTTACCCAAAGAAAACTCAATAGATGGGAAAAAAAACCTAAGCGACCACAAGCGAGAGGGAAAGGTTGCTGGACAGTTTCTCAAATGCCTCACAACAAGAATTCAGACTTGTGAGTTATAAATCTCATAATCTGAGTACTGAAATTTCCTCCAAATTACCAAATTAATTCCAAAGAGGAAATACACACTTGAACATGATTGCAGTATGTGCATTAAAGAGGTCCAGAATAAGAGTTTGGAGTCCAAAGAGGCAGAGCATTCCAAGCCCAATCTCAGGCCCAAACTACAGTTAGAGTATTCAACACAGCATTAACAGCTTCCCCTGAACAACAGCAATATTGTTTCTTCAAGCAAGTCAGAGGTAGTGCCCAGAACAGTTTAATGAGTATAACAGCAGCTTCCAGCTGAAATCTATGCCTGAGGTGGCCAGAAGAACGACACCATCCTGGTTGGCCTGGTAAAACCACTGCTAAGGGATCAGCAGTGATCTTGGGTTTGAGTCCTTGAGTCGAGAAACAAGCAGGATGCACACACAGACACGGTGAGTCCAGTCACCAGGGAGACATGTACAGTAATTGGGTACATCTGCTTCAGGGGCCAGCATCTTGCTGGCAGGCAGACAATACTCTGTACTGCAGCAGATGTGTGCATAGCTTAGTCAAACATGTAACCACAAAGGGCCATGCAGCGGCACTCAGTACTTTGTGTTCCATTCAGACCTACACACCAGTGGGAGAAGAGACCCTCCTGGATATGATTTTTAACCACACTTCCTCTACAAAATTTTTTTTTTTTTAAATGAACAGAAGTTACAATAGGTTTCATTTAATAAATAAAAAGTTTAGAGTCTGAAGATCTCCACTGAGGATACAACGGGATACAGCAATCAGGATTTAGTTGCAGGTTTGTCCTCTTCTAAAAGAAGATCATTTAATGCAATAACTGTAGCAGCAAAGTCAACCAGCTCCACGAAGTCTGATGTAATTATGTTAACACCCATAACGCCTGGTTTCTGTGTTTTTACCCAATTCAAAATCATAGGCAGGTTCCTAAAGAGAATAAAAAAAATTATACATTTTAAAAGACGCCCTCATCTGTAAGCACTCTGCTTATTTTAAATATTGCATGATGTTTGTGGATATATTAATAATTCTCGCATTTGTGATCATGTGCTGACTAGCCCCCCTGAAATGCAACCAGCTTGATAAGAAAAGTGCTTAACATGGCATGTGGTCATTAGATGCTAACCAGCTGGGAGCAGAAATATTCTCCAGTTGTCAATCAAAATTACCATTCATACAAAACACAAATTGTGAATTCTTTTCACTGAGCAGACTGTGCTTCAGGATTTAACGCTGCACTACAGTTTCCTCCATCCTGGTTTGGTTTTGCTCAAGTACATGTTGATGAAAAGCTTAATTACACACAAATAGGACTTGCAAGAGGACTCTAGCATGGCCCAAGAGAAAGCTAGATCTGGCCCGAAACACTTCCCACCCAGCCAAAAGCCTCCGCTTTAGAAAAGAGCTATTGGGGCAGAGCACTCTGCATTTGCACCAAACATGTATTTTCAGCCTCCGGACCCACCCAGAGCAGTGGGATCAAGGAAATCAAACCTGCACTCTAGTCCTCAGATCTCTCAAGGCTGAGCATCTCACCACACATTATTGTAACTGGAGAAAGGAGAGAGGTTT